TAGAGTAGACAGTATGAGAATATGTATATGTTAGGTGTTGTGTATGTAATGATGTGTGAAATCTTCTAGTAACAGCTGGTGATAGAGTAGACAGTGTGAGAATATGTATATGTTAGGTGTCGCGTATGTAATGATGTGTGAAATCCTCTAGTAACAGCTGGTGATAGAGTAGACAGTGTGAGAATATGTATATGTTAGGTGTCATGTATGTAGCAAGGTAAAGACTTGCCTTTAAGAAAAATAAGGTGTCCGCTACTGGGAATATCTTGAACTTTGTCATCTCTCCTGGAAAATATAAGGAGGCAGTCATGTTAGTGATGACTGATGGCGATGATGATGTCTGAGGGGAGAGGGGGTGGGGGTTCAGTTAATCTCCTTTAGATGATGGTCATAATGATAAATGATGGCAATAATGATAACATGTTTATAATGATGATAGATAAATGTCTGTTACTGAGTGAATGAATGAATGAATGAATGGATAGAAAGATGAAAAGTTAAATGGATGGATGAATGAATGAATAGTTGGATGGATGGATGGAATAAATGAATGAATGAACGAACAGATGTAGGAACAGATGAGTAAATAAATGGACAAATGAACAAATAAATAAAATGATAGGAACTTCTTCAGATACCAATGAACCGCACGGTCTTGATTTTGGACTCCAAGTTAATCTGATCTTTCTTCTTTAACTGCAAAAGACATGATATTTAGGCAGAAGTTAATAACACGTCAAAAGTGACAAGATTTTTAAAGCACCACCACCTCTCCTTCTTCTGGTGTTAATACTTACATGATGTTTGAACTCTCCTTTCAGTAGTCTCACTAATTCAGGTGTAATATCATTAACACACTGGTCAAGCGTAGCTACCAGACGACTGTACATGGGGAGAAGATCAAGTCTAAAACCATAAAATAAATAACATCAACAAATAAAAAATCTACAAAAATCTACAAAGCTTTTCACTGTTATATCACAGCGTGGGACAATCACAATAGAGCTAGGCTCCAAACTAGGTAAAAGCCCTGAGACATCAAATTAGAATTTAGAAGTTGATTTTTGAGGAGGGAGGAAAACAGGAGAACCCGGAAAAAAAACCTCGAAGCACAGGAGAGAACCAACAAACAACTCTACACACATAGCAGTGCACGCCACCGGTGCACATTGGGAAACGATGGTTATATAACAGTTATAGTAGTCCGCTGGCAGGAGCATTGGCAAGGGGCGGGGCCATGTTTCGCACTTCGTGGCATCAAAATGGCGGCTTTTTAGAATTTGTAAGGTACATCTCTAAGAATTTCTAACTACGTAACATGTTCTTCATATTGTGCAAAGATTCAGTATGGAATTCAGTGAGAAAACTAAAATGCAATAATCTGAAATTAAAGCTAGCAAAATGGTACATTCACCTTGTCCTCTGAACATTAAACAGTGATCGGCAAAGTTTCTTACGATTCTTTTTGGTGTTGCATGACAGCATGAAATCCATAGCAATCTACCAAAATAGGAAACAGGACAAAAATTGTAAGCATCTGAAACATTAGGAGTTCGTGTTGTTTAGTAAAAGACCTCATTTGCTTTGGCGTAATGTTTTCAAATTTCAGATTACATGCCATTCTCTTGAAAATAAGATTCTTTGTTTGAGTTGTATCCATATTCATGTGTCTTCTCATGTGAGACCATTAAACAAAGAAATAATACTCTAGGGTATGATACACCCCCAAGCTAAAGAAATTTATTCATTTCTCATTTGATAAAGTTCAAGCTGTTTTCACTATTAATGCTTGTTCAATCATTTCAATATTTCTTCACTCTTACATTTGATTTTATCCCACTATATTTAATGCCTGTTCTATTCAACTTCATATTTCTTCATTCTTTCATTCTATTTTATCCCACTATATTTAATGCCTGTTCTATTCAACTCAATCTCATTCAATATTTCTAGTTCATTTCCCTTCATTTTATTTTCTCACTTTTTGATAAGCACTACATGTTACCTCATCTATCATGTCCTTGTTAACACAGGTCGGCAGTTTCAGGATCAAGGCTTCTAGTGCAGCAGTACTACTGGTAATGACAGTACCACCTTCAGGCGTGGACTCATCTGAACCTAACAAATCACATCATCAATAACTTATCAATTAAATATTGGAATATTTCTCCTCCTGATACAGCACACCCCCCCCCCCCCTTCCCCCACATTGGGAATCCTCACATAATCACCTGTCAATTGAATATTGGAATATTTCTCCTCCTGATACAGCACCCCCCACCTTGGGAATCCTGGCATCATCAACTGTCAATCAAATACTGGACTATTTCTCCTCCTAATACCCTCCCATCTGGGATTTCAGGTTGATTTTCTAGCTTACTTACTGTCTTCATTGTCCTTGTCTTCAAAGTCTTCATCAATATCAAGAGTCTCTTCTAAATCATCAAGAATTTCATCTTGTCCTTTGGAATAAAATAAATAAACTTATTCACTTGGAGATCAAGATTGGAATAAATACTATAGTCAGGTACCTGTACATACGACTATTTCAAAAAACGTTGTCTATCAGAGATCTTAAATCTGAAAACTGAGAATGAGTAGCACTTTGCAAATTGTAATTTATTCACAATCAAACTATCTACTTAGTTTCCTTTTAGATTAGACTATGAAGTAGTAGAATTGTGATTTTTTGTATTTAAGCCAGAAAACATAAAAGCAAACACATCCCACTTAATCTCAGATTGCCCATTTCAGATCTCCAACTGACAAGGTGTATAATAAAGGTGCATAGGTGTTTTATAATGTAGAGATAGGAAAATGGATAAAACACAGGGAGAACATTTATTCAATGGGGGCGGTGTGCTTTTTACCTTTGTTGGTCTCCTTAGTATTTTTTTCTTCATTTAAACTTTCACTGCTAGAATTTTTGCTTTCATCTTTGTACAAGATCTAAAAAGCAACAAAAACAGGCACAAAAAAATAGCATAACATTAAATAAGCAATATCAAAATCAAATCAAACAAAGCAGGGCAGGGCAGGGCAGGGCAGGGCAGGGCAAAACACAGTAAGAAAAGGAGAGGAGAAGAGTACTCACCCCAGGCAGAGATGCCTTCAAATCTTTAAGGTTTTCATAAAACACTCTAGTATCTTCATCCTCCCATATACCACTTTCACCATCATACTGTGACGTAAAAACAAATACACAATCATTAGAATGAATAATAAATCATAGATCAGCCCAGAGGTTGTTTCAGGGTTTGATCTGTGAGTTAGCCATGCCCTGACTTAGATCAGCCCAGAGGTTGTTTCAGGGTTCAACCTGTAAGATAACTGTGCCCTGGCTTTGAAAGGTTGTTTCATTGTTTGACAAAATCTGGTTTGGTTTGGCTGCAAAAATATTTTTACAACTACAACTGCCCCAATTTACATCCCGGGGGGGGGGGGGGG